CCCCCCCCCCCCCCCCCCCCCCCCCCCCCCCAGACTTCCTTCTGAATAACCTAGAATTCGATTTGCGTTGGATTTTCCTCCCAGAGGAGAGCAGAGGAAGTGCAGCTACTTGCTAGAACTGCATTGCCAGACTTATTCATGAGGGCTGTAAATCCCAGGAGGAATACGTGGTGTAGTTTGACCTCTACTGTACTGCTGCCGGGCAGTCCGAACTGCAACTTGTGTAGCCGTTGGTGGGAAAGAATGGCTCACCAGGAGCTTTAACAGTTAAGATTCCTCATTCCTACTCCTTTTTTTTACCTAAGACCATGATGTTTTCTCCTCTGACAAATATTGTTGTTTTTTGTCTGATGGTCCACAAGAAAGCTTTCCTGTTGTGATGCACGTGTGCTCCTTGGAGCTGCTCCAGCCTCTACAAGGATGCAGCCATTAGCAACCTGATCCTGCCAGGGCCCTGCAGAAGCAGTAAGTGCTGAGAGCCTGGCAGGACAGGGCTGCTGAGATAGGAGAAAGAGAGGGAGCCTGTCTGGGTGAAACCCAGAGTCTCGTCCTAGTTCTGCTGCTGCTTTCCTGTGTGACCTTGAGGTAGGACAGTCTGGGTCTGATCCAGCTCACCATGTTGTGCTATTCCTTCCACCAGAATCAGCACTGTTTTTTGGCTCTTGTTCTCTGAAACCACCAGACTGAAGCTGGGTCTGCAGTTGTAGTGCTTATGGGAAGCTGCTGGGACCTGGCAATAGATGATGTGACAAAAGCCTGAGGTATCACAGATCATCTGCAAGTCAGGAGAGCCGGAAAGGTGTAAATTCTCTCTTTTTCCACAGCTGAGGGTTTCCTGCTGGAACAAACAGGTGACAGAGCCTCGTCTCTACCCATGCAGACTGCTCTGTGCCAGGAGTGTGCCTTCTTGAGACCTGACTGGACTTTGTGATTTTCTATTATTGTTATTATTGTATTAGAAGGCTTGACGTAAGCTCTTAGGCTTGCCCAGAGACAGCTGACACAGACTCAGTTCTTTGTGGTGTTAAGTGCAAAGCTCTGACGTTGTGGAGGTTTGGCTGTCCCAGGCTTGACACAGCAGCTCTGCTGCAATGTCATTCCAGCTCTGAGCAGCGTTCGACAAAGCCAGGATTCAGGCAGTTCCCAAATGTTCCGGGTAAAGTGCTGGGCAACGTAATGCACTTGTAATGACAAGTGGGAGTTTATAAATGACTGGGAGAATGGAGAGGAGGGGAGCCAACAACTTAACTGATTAAATTCAGTGGCCTTGTATGTAAGCCACTATCTTTCCAGTCCTTTTTGGATCTGCCTGCCATGTGGAATAAAATATTTTTTGCGGACTAGAGAAGGCTCTGAGCAGAGCTCTGCTCTGCATACAGCAGCACAGTGAGGGAATTTGCTTGTATGAGTCTGTTTTTTTTTTTTTCTCACTTACCTTTTCGGAGAGGTGAACAAGAAGCTAAGTGTTGTGTTGAGCAGCATTTCAGAGAGGAGGAGTGTGAGTGTGTGGGCAGTGGTTGCCATTCTGCATCCTACGAGAGTGACTTTCTCCTCAGGCAACCCCAAATCCATGCGCGAGAAGAGAGGTTCGAGCGCTTCAGTTCCGAGTTTCCACTGTTCGGAGGTGGGAAGGGTGAGCCAGCAACATGGGGCAGGAGGTATTTGGCATTGGGGGTTGTACAACGTGTGAATTGGCGTCCAACGTCACCTGGTCGTTCTTTTCCCAAGTGACGAGGTCTAGTGGTGTGTTCATGTCACTACCTGTGCTAAAGTGGAGCTTCTTGGGGAGTTCCTATACTCAGTTTTTAAGATAGATCTACTAGAAGAGAATTTGTGGGGTAAACCTAGGGGTTTCTGCAGCCTCTCCCTCCTCTACCTTGTGCTGGAGGAATTATCCTAATTTTTGAGATGTGGATGCTGGAAAGCTGGAGGCCTAGCAAAATCCTTGCACGAAGTTTCTACTGGAGTTAGGAGCAGGCAGCAGACAAGGCTTTGATCAGTCCAACTGCTTAGCTTGTAGTCTGTGGGTCAGTGTTGGGCCACAGGACCTCAAAGTGATCTGAAAAAAAAGACATTGCCTCTTTCTCCCTCCCCTTGGCCACACCAAGCTTCCTGATCACCATGGAAGAAAAAGCCTTTTGTTCCTTGCTTGCCTGCAAGCAGACAAAGCAGGCGAAAACAGAATTAACACATGAATGTTGTGGGTTCATCCTAATTTGGATTTGTAAATTAAAATTATCCTCCCCGTGGTTGGTAGATTCCCCTGCCTCCTCCCCCCGAAAGGGTAGGCGATTCTGGGATGAAAAAGGGTATTGGAAACGGCACTAAATCATTTGGTTGTTTTTCTGTTAGGATATACTTCTGCTGTTTATTGCATGTTAATGTCACTGCCCTTATACCTTCTTTTTCTTCTTTTTCTTCCCTTATGCGTTGCCTCTCAGCACTGGAAAGCTCTATTTGATCAGGTATGTGAACAGCTGATGTATTATCTCTGTCTTGTTAGCAAAGATCTAACTTCTTTCTCCTATACTAGGATTTCTCTGTTTTTAATTTATTTCTTAAGAGTAATGTGCTTGGTGTTCCCAGGGTGCTGGGGGACAAGTCCTAGTTGTCATTACTGCTTTTGGTCCTGTCTCTGGTCTTGTGTTCAGAGCAGCTGGGCCCAGTCTGACCATGCTCCTGGTGCAGGCACTGAGCCCAGGTGCTTGGCTGCTGCAGGTTGCACTTTCCTTGCTCAAGGGCTTAAAGCATCTTCTGTTCTTTGAGGTGGGCAAACTAGGATCTCTGAATCCAGCACAGCATTTTTTTATTATTATTATTTTGTGTGTGTGTGTGTATATATTTTTAAAAGACTCTCCAGATGGTAAACTGACTTCTCTAGGGTTACATCAGTTTGTTGTAGGTCAGGACCTGCTACTTTTGGCACATACAGAATTAATGAAGTGTCTGCTTCTGTACCAAAGACCATGGTTGTATCTGGTAAACACTTTGGCTCAGACCTGCAGCTGGGTGAAACGGGCACAGTTCTGTGGTGCTCCGAGTTGTACGAGTTTAAAATTTGAGTTGTGGATTCTAGTTTGTAAACTATGCTCCTAGCTGCTAACTGGCATGCCTGCTCTGTGGTATTCCTTCCATCTGCCCGGCTGAAACGTGAAGCAGCTATAAACAGAAGGATTTTTCCAGGGTTGACTTGCGCTGCTCTCTTGATGTGAGAAACTTTTGTGCTGGGGTGTGTGTGTGTTTGTGTAAATGTCACCTTCTGTGAGTGAGCTCTTACTCTGACGCTGGCACTACTCCAGCCACACAGGAACTCAGATGGGATTTTGTCCCTGCTTTATGAGAGGGTAACTTGGCTTCTGCATGAGGCCAAGCTGCCAAAGCAAAGGCTGCCTTGCAGTCTCCAGGGAATTATGCCCTGTGTACCCTGGGGGTCCTGTTGTCATTCAGTTAATAACTAGACTGTACTCATTTATACATGGGCAGCTGTGACCAGCTGTTAATCCACGTGTCTGGACTGCGGTTCCTTTCCTTGTTGCACAGTCAAGTGAACTGGCATTTGGGAGCTAACTTAGTGCAATGGTTGCTCACACTCAAACTGCATAGTGTATTTGAATTTGCTGGGTCTCATAAGGAGTGCTGCCCCTCCAGGGGTGTATGCCAGAGAAACTGCTTGCAATCTGCGCTGAGTGTTTGTTTCAGCCACTGTGAATTCTCCTGTGTCTCAAAAGTTGGCCTTAATTTGGCCTTAATTTGAAGTCTGATCCTACAAGTATCTTTTGAAGTCATTGAGTCCTTGTGAGATGAGGCCCTTGCCTGGTGGCTACCTCAGGCTCAAAGGGAGGAATAGGTAATTTCCCACTGGACTTGCCTGAATAGTAGAAATGCCTTTTTCTGTTTTCTAAGGGGAAGCAGGGGAGTCTGACTGTTGGATTTATAGAACATTACCCCAGAGAAAAGGGAATGGACTGCAAAGCCAGGCCTCCAATAATTAGCTACGTTTCAATTAGGGCTGCAGCTGAAACTTAAGCCTTGTCTGTGAGGCTTTATTATCAAAGAGAATGCAACCTGTGAAAACTAGTTGCAAGTCCTGCGTAAATCAATTAAGCCCTTGTTGCCTGTGGGCAACGCCAGAGAGCTGACGTCTTCCTTAGCGTTGTATCTGCAGCACAATTAGCCCTGCAATGAACTGCAAGATGTTGTTTGTCATAGAACAAGGTTGCTATTTGCAGTGATCCTATGCTGGTGGGAGAGAGGTGTTTTGTTAAGCTGCTATTGGCATGCCTGTGGAACATGAGGACAGTCTCAATGGCTACAGAGTTTGTGTGTTGAAGCCTGGAACAGTTGTAGCTCTCTCCTTGTGAGTTATTGACTGGCCTTATTTCTGCTTGGTGTGGATTTGGGTGGCTGAAGATTCACGTGTTTTGTGCTTGTGAAAGACTGAGGGTCTGGGATGTTCTCCTTCTCTGATGAGAGACGTGGGCCTCTGTCCAGCACCTGACAGAGAAAGGTCCTATAGAATGAGTTAGAGCAGTTGGGAAAGCACAGACTGGGGTTGTAGCTGCTGGGATGATTGGGCGTGACAAGAGACACAGCAAGGGAGCAGTCAGCACTTTCTCCCATCCTTTCCTGTAAAAATAAATAAAAATTGGGATGAAATTATAACTATTGTGTTTTTCTGGAGAGATCTTAGGAAGACTTTTAGGTTTACTGACACAAAAAGGTTTCTCTTTAGACCTACCAGCTTTAAGAGTGTTTGCTTCTTTGTTTTTTGGAAGGGAGAGAGATGCCAGACAGGATGAGAGAAAACTGATGATTCTTTTGGGAGTTTTTTTTTTAATTTATCTAATTATTTTTATTTGTTTTGATCCAGCTCTAATCTTTTGTGCTAGGAGTTGTCATTAACTCAAGCCAGTATCTGTAGCCACTGGGACACTGCTGCATTTAACAAGCAAAAGAAAGAAAATTGGTGAAAAGGGCAGATCCAGAACTTCTTCCTAGGTTGTGAGGTTCAAAGAAGCCCCTCGCAGGGTTAAATCTTGGCTACACTGAAGCAAGTACCAAAACTTGTGAATTTAGTGAGTGAGGACTTCAACCAGGCACCTCTTCAATGCGGCAGCCAGGAGGCTGCAGTAGCTGCTGCCTCGCACCCTGCTTACGAGATGGGGATTTTATTGCAGGGCCATGGCCCTTGGGCAGCTCTAACTCACTTTTATATGGGAACTTTTATAGGATTCATACATTTATTTATTGTGCTCATAAACACCCTCCACCCACGCGCACATTAGCTCTGCATCTGGTGCCTTTACGGAGCCTGCGTGGTTGCTGAGTGCTGCCGTTGTGTCCGAGCAGAGCACAAGCTCTGAGATGCTGCCCCTCTCCATCCTTTCCTAATTACCTGGCCTTTCTCCACTTGCTCTTCATGGATGCAGTAACTTTTGGTTTTGATGATAACCTAGACTCAGAAGTGGTGCAGTCCCAGAAACAGGTCCTGGAGATGTTTTGCATTGTTGTGCTAAAAGTATCTTGTGCCAATTCCCTTTGTGCAGACCGGAGGTCCCGCTGCCCAGGTTGGAGCAAGTTGTCTGAAGGTTGGACTCCTGAGGAGCTCTCCTGCTCTGCCTTGTCCTTTCTGAGGCCTCAGGTGCCCTTCTTTGCCTCCGTGTCCCTGCTTTAGAGATAAGTAAATGTTATTACCCAGGCCATGTGGGTGAAAGGGGCCATCTCGGAGCACGATGTTTGTCAACAGGCAGCTCTGAGCCTTGTTAGGTGGCAAGTGCTTATACCACATTTGCCCTGTTCCTGTTGCTGCTCAGCTTTCAAGGGTGAGTTGACATTATCAGCCCTCATCTGAGTTCTCCCTTCTCACCCATACCATGCTTTGTAGCCATGACAACAAACTTGTTTTAAATAGACACATGCAAAGATCACCTGAAAGGCCCACTCACACGCTCCGCACCTTGGGCCCATGGGCTGTCAGTCCAGGCTTCGATTTTACTGCAGCTGCTTTAGGAGTCCGGGATTTTTTTTTTCTGAGCCTTGTATGTGGGTGTGATGGTAACAGATGAACAGAGTTTATGGGCAATGCAGAAGGATGCCAAGTTATTCTGGCTGTGTAGGCAGATAATGGAAAACTTGAGCTCAGAACTGGGGCTGTGGAGATCTCCTGGACAGAGGTGCACTCACCAGGAGGAGTTGAGTTGCTGACAGTACCAGCGGTGGGTGCAGCTGAACCTGCTTTACCTCCCTTTGGTAAAGCATTAAAAAGTTCTTGATGGAGACCTTGTGGCATCTTAAATCCAGGACTGGTTCATGCTTGGTTGGAATTGAAAAGCACTCCATAAAATCAGGCCAACTATGATCACGGTTGGTGGTAACTGGGAAAGGGAATCATTCTGAACTCAGTGATCTTTTATGTTGTGTCCCCTTTCTCTGAATAGCCTTTAACACGGGAAGGACCAGCTATTTCCCACATTATAAAAGAAATTCCTGTTTGTTTAGTGGAATAAATATCAGTTTGAAAAGTTTCACTGGCTATTGCTGCTGCCTAACCCTGCTGGCTGTGCCTGGGAGACCTCACCAGGTCTTGCTGAGCTCCTGTCGGTGGGTTGTGCCTGCAGATTTTACTGCTTTCTTGACAAACTCCTTGTCTTTCCCTGCTGGTTTGTGTGACTTCTTTGGGGGAGGAAAAGGAGAAATTGCAAAGTGAAGAATGCAAAACTGTGGCTGTGAGGCTAGCACCATGGAAAGGGGATTTGAGCGCATGATCATATGCTATTTCCAAGTTTTTGTCTGGATTTGGGGCTAATGCTGTCCCTTCAGATTAGTGCTCATTAGGACATATGTCTGTACTGCAAAGAGGAGGTTGTGAAAACTGGAATTAGAAATAATCATTGATTTGTTGCTCTTTCTCCCAAAGCGGTCTGAAGAATTGAGAGGAGCTGGTTGGAAGCCTGTCCACGATGATAACACACTAGCAGCTGGGCCCTAAGCCAGGGTCTGCCTGGCCTGCTCTGTTAGACACTTCTCCAAGCGAGATAAGAAACTTGTCCCCGTCGGCCGAGCTGTGCGTTGCAAAGGGGAGAGAGGCTTTAAAGGCTACAAGTGTCCCTTGGCTGGGCACAGAAGGGGGTGCTGCGTCTGCACCATGCCCTGAGGTCTAATCTCATTTACAGCTGTCAGCGTGGGCTGCGGGCAGAAATGAAAGGCAGAAGAGAGGGAGGGAGAGCAGCTTAGTCCCAGACGGAGGGCACGGGCAGAGCACCTGCCCTGGCCCTGCTACCTTGCGCGGGGGGTGGCACAGACAGCTGGGCAAGTGTCATCTGCTGCTTTGAGGCCCAGCCATGAAGCACACGATTAATGGCTCAAGGGACTGGGCTTTTGTGAGCTATAAAGCCCTGGGATTTAGGCAGGGCTCTCGGGCCTTTTCTTCCAAGTAGCGCTGTTGCTTTGCATTTCTCGAGTGGCG